CTAAGTTTAGGGATCCAATTGTGGTTCATAAAATAGTATGCTCCGTCCTCCTTCACTTCGTAATTCTTTTCCATCCCTCATAACGCTTCGCTTGCTTTGTTTTCCATCTTCATGGCATCGAACTGGGCTGCCCTGATTTGAAGGTCAGGTGGGATTGAATGGTTATGGAGAGAGTCTTTACTGGACGATTTGAGTATTCTTTCCAACTCAAGAGGCATTAACTACCACATTAGCCTTGACTGGGTGGTACTTGATTTCTCACTCATAATCGTTTAGTAGCTCAACTCACCTTCGTTGCCTCATGTTCAATTCTTTTTGATTTAGGATGTGTTGGAGACTCTTGTGGTCCGTAAAAATGGTGCACTTTGTACCATAAAGGTAGTGTCTCCAAATTTTTAAGGCAAAGACCACAGCTCCCAATTCTAAATCGTGCGTCGTATAGTTCATCTCATGTGTCTTTAGTTGTCGGGATGCATAAGCTATCACCTTCCCACGTTGCATGAGTACGCAACCTAAACCCTGATTCGACGCATCGCAGTAAACTACGAAGTCCTCTGTTCCTTCTAGTAGTGATAGTACCGGTGCGCTGCAAAGTGCTCACTTCAAAGTTCAAAATGCAACCTCTTGCTTATCTATCCATTCAAAGGGTACAGCCTTTTGTGTAAGCATAGTAAGTGGCTTGGCGATCTTAGAGAAGTTTTGGATGAACCTCCTGTAATAGCCTGCTAGACCTAAAAATTGATGAAGTTATGTGGGTGTCGTTGGGGTCACCCATACTTCAATGGCTTTGACCTTAGAAGGATCCACATGTATCCCTTCGTGACTAACAACATGACCCAAAAAGTTCACACTGTGGAGCCAGAACTCACACTTGGAGAGTTTTGCGTATAGTTTCTCGGTTCGTAGGGTTTCCAGGATTTGTCGGAGATGTTGGCCATGCTCCTCTTCGTTTCAAGAGTAAAATAGAATGTTGTCAATGAAAACGATGACAAGTTGTCTAGGAATGGTCGGCAGATCCGATTCATTAGGTCCATGAATGCGGTATGGGCATTCGTTAGACTGAAGGGCATTACGACGAATTCATAATGTCCATAACGAGTTCGAAAAGCGGTTTTGGGGATATCCTCTTCCCAGACCTTGAGTTAATGGTATCCAGATCGTAGATCTATCTTGGAGAAATAGCTTGTGCCTTGAATTTGGTCAAATAGATATTAGATTCGCGGAAGTGGATAGCGGTTTTTGACAGTGACCTTATTTAGTTCCCTGTAGTCAATGCATATCCTAAAGGATCTGTCTTTCTTCTTAACAAAAAGTATCGGAGCTCCCCAGGGTGAGAAGCTGGGTCGGATCTAAAATTGATGAAGTTTTGGATGAACCTCCTGTAATAGCCTGCTAGACCTAAAAATTGACGAAGTTATGTGGGTGTCGTTGGGGTCACCCATACTTCAATGGCTTTGACCTTAGAAGGATCCACATGTATCCCTTCGTGACTAACAACATGACCCAAAAAGTTCACACTGTGGAGCCAGAACTCACACTTGGAGAGTTTTGCGTATAGTTTCTCGGTTCGTAGGGTTTCCAGGATTTGTCGGAGATGTTGGCCATGCTCCTCTTCGTTTCAAGAGTAAAATAGAATGTTGTCAATGAAAACGATGACAAGTTGTCTAGGAATGGTCGGCAGATCCGATTCATTAGGTCCATGAATGCGGTATGGGCATTCGTTAGACTGAAGGGCATTACGACGAATTCATAATGTCCATAACGAGTTCGAAAAGCGGTTTTGGGGATATCCTCTTCCCAGACCTTGAGTTAATGGTATCCAGATCGTAGATCTATCTTGGAGAAATAGCTTGTGCCTTGAATTTGGTCAAATAGATATTAGATTCGCGGAAGTGGATAGCGGTTTTTGACAGTGACCTTATTTAGTTCCCTGTAGTCAATGCATATCCTAAAGGATCTGTCTTTCTTCTTAACAAAAAGTATCGGAGCTCCCCAGGGTGAGAAGCTGGGTCGGATCTAAAATTGATGAAGTTTTGGATGAACCTCCTGTAATAGCCTGCTAGACCTAAAAATTGACGAAGTTATGTGGGTGTCGTTGGGGTCACCCATACTTCAATGGCTTTGACCTTAGAAGGATCCACATGTATCCCTTCGTGACTAACAACATGACCCAAAAAGTTCACACTGTGGAGCCAGAACTCACACTTGGAGAGTTTTGCGTATAGTTTCTCGGTTCGTAGGGTTTCCAGGATTTGTCGGAGATGTTGGCCATGCTCCTCTTCGTTTCAAGAGTAAAATAGAATGTTGTCAATGAAAACGATGACAAGTTGTCTAGGAATGGTCGGCAGATCCGATTCATTAGGTCCATGAATGCGGTATGGGCATTCGTTAGACTGAAGGGCATTACGACGAATTCATAATGTCCATAACGAGTTCGAAAAGCGGTTTTGGGGATATCCTCTTCCCAGACCTTGAGTTAATGGTATCCAGATCGTAGATCTATCTTGGAGAAATAGCTTGTGCCTTGAATTTGGTCAAATAGATATTAGATTCGCGGAAGTGGATAGCGGTTTTTGACAGTGACCTTATTTAGTTCCCTGTAGTCAATGCATATCCTAAAGGATCTGTCTTTCTTCTTAACAAAAAGTATCGGAGCTCCCCAGGGTCAGAAGCTGGGTCGGATGAATCCTTTGTCCAAAAGCTCACTGAGTTGGCTGAACAATTCTTGCATCTCCGTAAGAGCCAATCTGTAGGGCGATTTGGCGATGAGAGTAGCTCCTAGTACCAGATCAATTCGGAACTCGACTTGTCTTTCTGGGGTTATTCTCGGAAGATCATCAGGGAAGACATTCGGGAACTCGCAAGCTACTGGAATGTCTCTAATATTGACCTATTCCTTGGATTTATCCACTATATAAGCAAGGAACGACAAGTCTTTCTTTCGTAGATACTTTTGTTCCTTAAAGCACGAGATAAGACGAAGGTTCGTGCTGGGTTTGTCTCTGTATATAATTAGGGTTTCGCGATTTGGAAGGTGAAGGCGAACAGCCTTCTCGTGACACATAATTTCAGCATGCTGGGGGCTTAACCAATCCATGCCAATAATCACATCGAAACTCTTAATGGAAACAAGCATTGAGTTTATTTGAAAGGCATGTTGGTCCAAGGTTAGGGTACATCCAAATATAGATCTCCCTAGTGGATTCTGTTTTCCCATTGGCCATTTCCACCGTAAAGGTTTCATTAAGCTTCTGGGGTTGTTGTTTTAACAAGAGTTTAAATCTATTGCTCACAAAGCTTCGTTCTGCTCCAGTGTCAAATAGGATGCATGCATAAGTGTGGTTTAGGAGAAACATACCGGTGACAACAGTGGGGTCCTGAACTGCTTCTCCCTGACCCATGGTCGGCACTCTTCCTGTTCCTCTATTCCCAGGGTTGTTGTTGTTGGGGCAGTTGCGACGCAAATGCCCATTTTTTCCACATCCATAGCAAGTGTGGCTTGGTCCTGCATTGTTGTCACTGTTGTTGGTGTTGTTGTTATTGCTCCTTTGCTGCTGGTTTTGGAGAGGACAGGTCCTGCAATATTTTTTCGTGTGACCGTTTCGATTGCAACTAGTGCAATGCATCTCCCTGCACTCTCCATTATGATGAAGACTGCATTTGTTGCACTTTGGGAGATTTCCAGAATACTGCCTAGGAGCACTTGGAGCAGCTGAGACTGGAGCATGTGGTGTGGAGGGAAATTGGGTGGTTCCAGCATTAACTGTCACTGTTTGTTGCTTCTTGGACGACTCCGAGCCTTGTCGTCCCTTTCTCTTGTTATTCTTTCCCTTCTTGTGGTCACTCTCCTTCTTGCCTTTAGTTTCCAATGGCTTCTCGCCCTTCTTGTTGATGTGGCCGTACAGTTTCTTGGCCAATCTCTTGGCACTGTCTAAGGTTTCAGGATTTTCATCTATCACATTTCCTTGGATTTGGGAGGTTAGTCCCCAGATGAATCGTTCGATTTTCTTTCCCTCCGAAGTAATCATGCCAGGGCACGACAGAGACAGTTCGCTAAACCTTGATATGTATGCATCAATGTCAGAATTTCGGATGGTGAGATTCCACAATTCCTGTTCCATCTTCTGAATTTCGCCTCGTGGGCAGTACTCGGCCATCTACATTTCTTTCAACTCCACCCAAGGCATGGCGTTGGCTACGGGGAGAATCATGGCTTCTACATGTCTGTTCCACCAGGTGAGAGCTTGATCAATGAACGTGCATGCGACAAACTTCACCTTCATCTCCTCAGGGCACTCGCATATCTAGAACACCGATTCCACCTTCTCAATCCATCTTTTTAGGGTTATCATTCCCCCGGTGCCATTAAAGATTCGTGGCTTGGCAGTGGTGAAATCTTTGTAGGAGCATGCCTTGGTAGGTCCATGATTTATTCCATTGTTTGAACTTCCAGCCCCTTGCCCATTGCCTCCTCCATTGTTCCCTTGGTGAATTTGTGACATGGCTGCAGTGACTGCAACAGATACAGCTGCCTGGAATGCAGCTGAGTTGACCTCGGGTGGGGTTGGCCCAGGGTTTCCGCGGGCTGGTCGTCGAGGCATCTTTTTGTCACGAAACGGAAAGATGTTGAGTGCCTAAGTTTTGTGGGTTTGTGGACTTATGAATAGGTTTATATCATGTATTTAGGTAGTTTCGCATATAATCATAGAAGCATAGCACATAACAGATAACAACATCACAAAAAAACACATATATTTTCCATTAATAATATCCATACTTTGATACAATGAAAATTTGCTCGAGAGAGCATACATATAGGATATAAGTTCGACAGCATAACGACTCTACGAGTAGTGTAATCACTTAAACATAGAGTCAGTGGTACATAGCATAGATCATAGTAACCTAACACTAAAGAAAGATACGGTTAGTTCCTCGTACAGTGGGACCTATATGGCAAGTAGTAGAGCAAGTCCTATCAGTAGAGGTGACGACGACACTCAATTGTCGAGTTGATGTATCAAGAGTTCAGCCAGTTCATCCGCCTCCTGGGTGATTACCTCCACTCTTCGCTCGGCTTGTACAGCCCTTGCCTTGGCCGCAATGAGTTGAAGCTTGAGGCTGATAATTGCCTCCTCGAGAGAGCGTAGATAGTTCGTATCAATCCTTTGAATCATGCGGGAATCTGACTGGGCTTTCAACGGGTGGGGTTCATTACGCGTCTCTTCTATTCCCTTCTCTTCGTCTAACTCCTGATCAAACTCGTCATTACATATTCATCCTGTTCCACTTCGGTCCAACGTCGTGTGCCCCTTCGCTGATCTCCCTCGGGCTTGTCCTCGATGATCCCGTGGGCCACTAAGACCTGATGAAACTGAATGCCCTGGTGCTCTCCTTCCATAGTGACTAAGAGGAGGTTTATAAATAAACTATTATTACTCCTAAGATGTTTTAATTATCGTATATATTGAATTGATGTTCTCTTCTTGGGAATAAAGTGGTATGTTTTTAGGTTTACCGACCCTCACGGTTTCCTCGGGGCATGTGATAGTTGTACCTTGGAAGAAATGTAGTTGATCAGGCTACATTCACCCCTTAAAACTATTATGAACAGTCCCGACTTAACCGAGATGTCAGTATCATCTTATTTGATTTGGTATTATGTTATTTTTCATATATCGTACAAGTAGGGGTGTTTTATCCTTGTGTTTTATTTGTTTTGGTTTTTTTCAGAGTTGTTTTGTCCCTCTTTGATTTATAGTTGCATATCAAAGTGTGGTTAGATATGCTAGTTCACTATAAACAGTGCTCTGATACTAATCTGTCACACCCCCGAACTAGACGGTGGAAACGTCCAAGGGCTCACGTGACTAAATTTGAATATCATCACAATGAATATACATGAATCATAACATAAGCATCACCATGCATCAATATATTACAACTGAATTTGTTCACATTAAGTACATTGTTTTAACATTACAAATCCATAACATAAATTGTTTGATAGTTTTCAAAAGCACATCACTCTAACATAACTTGGTACTACTCCTCAGCTTACCTGTTACCTGAAAATACAAGTTATTTTGAAACAGTCAACATATGGAATGTTGGTGAGTTCATAAGCAGGTTTGTTATGAAAATGTTTTGTGTAGTTTTTATGAAAACAACCCAGAAAATCCGATATTTTCTGAAATGACCATTGTTTGTATAAAAGTGTGAAGATCCGTAAATATATGCATGATGATTTCAAAACGTGTATAGTTGAAAAACTTCGTATTAAAAGTACTAGTGAAAAATGTTGAACTTCACCGGAAAACCCGATGTTTTCCGAAAATAAACAAAATATCGTATAACTGTTCGTATTGTTATCCTACCTTGAATGATTTTGATTTATCTTGATTACTTGATTAGTATTGGATTTATTTATGTGAGTCATTATAACCATGCATCATAATGACTAGTTCGTCTGTCTTGGCACTCTGGTGAACGCCGGAATTGATCTTAAGATTTTGTCACCCTAGACCGGCCGAGTCTAATTGTAGCGAATAGTTGAGGTGTGGGGGAGTCACCCCCGTATAGATCTATACACAAACTCTCGCTTTCCCTCCAGGAGACTTTGATTATAACTACGGACTACGACCTGTAACAGCCGGATTTTATCAGGTATCTTGTTTATTATATTTTGTTGATTTGAGAGGGGACTCGGCGAGTTGGAGCTCAGACTCGCCGAGTAGGGACGCGGATCTAGACGCGGGATCGCGCCTGGACTCGACGAGTCCAGGATATGGACTCGACGAGTCCACGATATGGACTCGGCGAGTCCACGATATGGACTCGGCGAGTCAGCGCTGTGTAATGAAACCCTAATTTCTCGGGTTTGAGACTTATTTAAAGGGCCTAATGGCCGTCATTTGTGCTCACCAGCCCCTTGAGTGAAACCCTAATCAAGTGTGGGCATTTGGAGCTAAGTAGGAGGCCATTATTGACCTTGGAGGTGCCATTGTTGCAAGGAAGGAGAAGAGCTAGCCAAGGGAAAGCAAAAGGAGCCACTTCTGTGGGTTTGGAGTCCAGAGCATCACGTTTGTGGTAATAAATCCGAGTTACCTTCTTGTTTGTTGTTGTTTATCTAGATTTAGGGTTTGTTGAACCCTTTTATGGCAAGATTTAGTGTCCTCTTGGTCCCTTATGAGGTTGGAACCATAGATCTGGACCCTTAGAGGTCCAGAGTGTCCTTTTACCCAAGATTTTTGAGAATCAATGGAGGCTTTGGATTGGAATCCTCATGCCTTAGGTCAAAAACTCCATTTATGAGCTATAGGGTGTGTTATGAGCACCAAGATAGGAGCTTTACGTGATGAATCAGTCGAGGGAGGCCAAATCTATAGTTTTTGGAAGCAGATCTGACCTTAGAAGCGAGTTGGAGTGGTTGCATGGCATGGACTCGCCGAGTCTATTCATCCGACTCGGCGAGTAGCTTGAAGATTGCCTTGGGACTGCTCAGCGAGTGGTCCAATCGAGTCATGGGTAGACTCAGTGAGTCAGGGTGAGTTGGAGAGGGATGACGAGTGGACTAAGTCAAACTTGGACTCGCCGAGTTGTCCTTGAGACTCGGCGAGTTGAGTCGGGGTGGCCCCGCGATTCATTCAGGTGAAACTCGTCGAGTAAAGGGGGGAATAGTCGACGTGTAGTAAGGGGATTTCAGAGGGTTGGTGAAAACGTCTAGACTCGCCGAGTCGGGATGGTACTCACCGAGTCCGGTCAGAGTTGACCGTTGACCGTTGACCAGAGTTGAACTGTGATTGACTTCTTATGGATAGTCAACCTTAGAGATATAAAGTGTTAATTAGAAACATATAATGTTATAGGAGGATTAGAGCTCGGAGGATCGAGCACGAGGGATTTCCAGGATTTGTGAGATACCGAGATACGCGAGGTGAGTCTACTCACTATACTATATTACCTTGAGTAAGTAACCAGAGTTATGTGATAGAGAATTTGTATGCTATGTATGTTATGTGTTGTACTGCATTATTTCTATGTGATTTATGTAGTGCATGTTTATCAGAGCTAGAACCTGCGGGTTCACAGAGTTTGGGTGCATGGACCCACAGAGTTATAGCCTCGAGTGGCTAATATGTGTTATATGTGGTATTTTGGGGAACTCACTAAGCCTTGTGTTTACAGTGTTTGATGTTATTGTTTCAGGTACTAGTGACGACCGCGGGAAGGCGCCGGCTTGATCCGTACACACACTCGGAGTTTTTACATTGTGATCTTGGGATTTTGTATTAACCGTTATTGGATTATTAATATGGATGTTTGATGAATATTAATCAAATTATGTTTTATAAGAAAATTGAAAAAAAATTTGTTTTGAAATTTACGGTGTTACACGACCGACACACGTTGGTGCCACTCGTTATTACTCACTAAAACCCAATTGACTTTGATTACTATTGATTATCGACCCGTATTTGTTTACTTGGATTGACGATAGGCCTAATAAACGAGGAGAAGAGGATTACAAGATTCTACTATTCCCGCGTATTATTTATGGTTATTGATTATACGAAGGACACGCTGGCCCATTTCACATTTGATTTACTTGGACCTTACTAGCAATGCTAATGGGCCACTAAGGCCCAATAGCACTTAGAAGTCATTGAGGGTCCCTTAAATATGAAATTGAGTCTTAGAAGGCCCAATAACATTTATATTTATCTCTTGGCCCCAAAAATCATGTTAATGGGTCACAAAGGCCCAATAAGCATGTTTGAAACTTTTAAGCCCAAAGAATTTAATATTTATTTGCTTTAGGTATAGTATAGATGTCAGAAATGTTTAATTCTGTAACGCCGTAAATTTCAAAACAAAATTTTCAAAGTTTATAAAACATAATTCACTTAATATTCATAAAACAATCATGTTTGAAACTCAATCCAAGTAATACAAAAATCCCAAGATCTCAAAATCATAAAATCCCATGCGTGTGTACTGATTAAGCCGGCGCCTTCCCACGGTCGTCACTAGTACCTGAAACAAATAACACCAAACACTGTAAGCACAAAGCTTAATGAGTTCCCCAAAATACCACATATAACACATATTAGCCAGTCGAGGCTATAACTCTGTGGGTCCGTGCACCCAAACTCTGTGAACCCTCAGGTTCTAACTCTGTAAACATGCACAACATAAATCACATAGAATAATGCAGCGCAACACATAACACATATATAGCATACAAACACTGTATCACATAACTCTAGTTACCTACTCAAGGTAAAGTATAGTGAGAAGACTCACCTCGCGTATCTCGGTAACTCGCAAGTCCCTAAAATCACTCGTGCTCGATCTCCCGATCTATAGTCCTCCTATAACACAATACGACTCTAAATAACACTTCACAACTAAGGTTGACTATCCCTTAACAAGTCAACATAGGTCAACACTGGTCAATGGTCAACGGTCAACTTTGATCGGACTCAGCGAGTGCACTATAGCGACTCGGAGAGTCTATGCGCATACACTGATTTCCCTGAGATCCTCACTTGACACGATGAGTATTCTCCTAGCTCGACGAGTTCCACCTGGCATGAGTTGTGTGGCCTCCACGACTCAACTCGCCGAGCCTCAAGAACAACTCGGCGAGTTCCAGCTTGACTCAGTCCCCCTGTCAACCTACTCTGACTCTCCCTGACTGACTGAGTCAATCCCTTAACTCGGCAAGACCACTCATTGAGTGGTGCTGGGCAATCTTCATGCTACTCGCCGAGTCTGTTCTTCAAACTCGACGAGTCCATGCCATGCATCAACTCAAACTCATTCCTGAGGTCAGATCTGTTCCATACATTCATAGATCTGGCCTCCCCAAGCATGATAATCACGTAAAGTCCAAACCTTAGGGCTCAAACAACAACTATTTGCTCATAAATGATGTTTTAGCCCCATATCTCATAACTCTAGGCCAAAACTCTCATGAACCCTCATAAAGCTTAAAGAATACAGCTCTTATGGACCTCTATGGATCTCATCTCAAGCATTATCATGAATAGGGACGAAATGGACATCAAATCTAACCAACAAAGGGGTCAAGAAACCCTAAACCCCCATGTTCATCATAAAAACCGAAAAAGAAAGCCAAGATATACCTCCAAGATGATGCTCTGAGCTCCAAATCGAAGAATGTCCACTTCCCTTGCTTTCTCTTAGCTAGAATATCCCTTTCCTTGCAAAACCAAGCTTCAAAGGTCAATAATGGCCTCTTTTCTCTCCCAAAACGCTCAAATCTCTTTAGGGTTTCTCTCTAGGGATTGGTGGCCGCAAATGACGGCCATAAGCCCCTTTAAATAGGTCTTAAACCCTGGAAATTAGGGTTTCATTAAACAGCGTGGACTCGCC